GGCAGCTAAATGAGGAGGGAAAACGTTTTCCAAACCATTCAACTATTACATTATTCAGCTATTTCAGGACATCAAGGCTATACATGTTGTTGTTTATACCTTTTTTTAAACCTTTTCTTTGAAATATTCAGCTTTTTCTGCATTTGTTTAGCTAAAAGCAGCTACCATTCAGCTAATAACATATTCAGCTTTTTCTGCATTTTCAACTAAATTCAGCCATAGGCCTAAATGTTCACAGTTTACAGCATTCGCACGCATTTTCTGCAGGAAATGCATTTTCTAGTTATCTTTTACATTACTTGATTTAAGGAAAAAATACAGACGGTATAAATGTAAGTCATTGTGCCTGACTCAATAAAAAAGTCTCGGACCGCCGAGGGGTGGCGGTGTTTGGGGCGACGAAGACTGCTGCTCCGGGGGCGGCGAGTCGGGCGGGAGTAAGCTAGTGCCCACGACGGCGGGTAATGTAATGTCCCAATCTGACCTGTTGCTATTTTCTGCAGTAGATGCAGTGGTGCTGGCGTTTAGTGATGGTTGCTTTAACCATTTTCGTATATCCATGATTATCCACAGATGTGTGTCACTGCTGTGGAAGCACTTTGGAAATGATGCACGCGCAGTGGCGCAGGTCACGCGCACCTGACATAATTTATTTTGTATCGTAGGCTATTCTATTAATGTTATATTTATAATATTTTTCGCTCCATTCTCTTTTTTGAATAGAGGGTGCATAACATTCAACTGGGGGTACAATGCATGCCTATGCACCCCCGTAGGCCTTGTAGGCCTTGAACAATTTTACAAGTATTATTTAATTTCTTGGCTTTAAATCTTGTTATATTACTAACCTCTAAATCACACATCATATTGCTGCATTTTCACTGATCAATATAGCTACAGTATGTATAGTGCAAGGCTCAAGGTACCACCTCTATCCAAGCAGGCTGAGACCATGAATATAAACTGTATGAATAAATGAGGAAAATAATAAATAAATAATATTATATTATATATATATATATATGGAGTCCTTACCCCAAGTGAAGGAGTTCAAGTATCTCGGGGTCTTGTTCTCGAGTGAGGGAACAATGGAGCGTGAGATGGGCCGGAGAATCGGAGCAGCGGGAGCGGTACTGCAGTCGCTTTACCGCACCGTTGTGACGAAAAGGGAGCTGAGCCAGAAGGCAAAGCTCTCGGTCTTCCGGGCCATTTTCGTTCCTACCCTCACCTATGGTCATGAAGGATGGGTCATAACTGAAAGAACGAGATCGCGGATACAAGCGGCCGAGATGGGTTTTCTCCGCAGGGTGGCTGGTGTCTCCCTTAGGGGTAAGGTGAGAAGTTCGGTCATCAGTAGGGATGGGTATCGTTTGAAATTTATCGATTCCGATTTCGATTCCGGTTCTGCTTATCGATTCCGGTTCTTATCGATTCCCCGTTTCGATTCCAAAATTGTAAAATAAAGAGGTCAAACGTTTAGATAACAAAAATATATTTATTCTTAAAAGCTTTAACTGAAATTGTTACTAAAAAATATACATGCAATACAAATGTATTGCACAATAGCTGTGCTTTATTTTAACTGAGCTATGCCTGTGGCAAGCTATTAACAGGCATTACACTTTGCCTTTTCTTTTTCTTTTTTAGTGTAGTGGAGCCTCACTTCAGAGTGTTTACCGCGACCTATCTTTGGTGTTATGAAGTGACTGAGCTCGTGAAATGTCTACGGGAGGGCGGGGGGGGCATCGCTGCGGGGCAACTGTGGACCTCTGTCGCCTGTCAGCGCAATTTATATGATGCCGTTTAAAAAAATGAAGGGCGGTGCCGGCCGTCAGCGTACCGAGCCGGCCGTCAACGGCCCGCTGACGACCGGCCGTTCTGTGATTCTCCAGGTCCGCCCTGTATTCCACCGGGTCACCGCAGCACCGCGGTGCAGACGGACCCGCTGGAATACAGGGTCTACCGCGTTTAGGAACCGTTAAGCAGAACCGAAATTGTGTATTTTGTATGGGTACCCGGTACCCGGCATTTTCTTATCGGTTCTCATCTGGAACCGAGTTTCGGTTCCCAACCCTAGTCATCAGGGAGGGACTCGGAGTTGAGCCGCTCCTCCTTCGCGTCGAAAGGAGCCAGTTGAGGTGGTTCGGGCACCTAGTTAGGATGCCACCTGGGCGCCTCCCTAGGGAGGTGTTCCAGGCACGTCCAGCTGGGAAGAGACCAAGGGGTAGACCTAGGACCAGGTGGAGGGATTATATCTCTTCGCTGGCCTGGGAGCGCCTTGGGACCCCCAGTCAGAGCTGGTTGATGTGGCCAGGGAAAAGAAAGTTTGGGGCTCTCTGCTGGAACTGCTACCCCCGCGACCCGACCACGGATAAGCGGGAGAAGATGGATGGATGGATATATATATATATATATATTATATTATATATTATATACATATATTAAATATAAATAAATAATAATAAATGAGGAATTTATTTTTGCCTTTTGTCTTTTCTTTTACTTAGATTCCCCTGCCAATTTTGTTTTATGTAAATGTTTGCATGTTATACGTTTGACTTCTTTTGGGTTATTACTCAGTTAAAAAGCACTTATAGAGTAAAACGTTTTTTTTTTGTATATGAAATGCTGTATAGTAGAAAATACTCTAATCTTTAAGTACGTTTTCTTATGTTGTACAGGAGAAGAACGTTTGATGTTTTTACTACAGACACAAAGGAAAGCATAAGTCACTGTGCAATGCCTCATTAGTCATGACGGACAACATGAAGTAATATGTATTTTAAAGAGGGTTGTTTACATTTTTTGTACACAGGTCACAGGTAAAAATTAAGGGCAGACCTTACCATGTAAAACATTCTGTGTCATTGTTGCATACAAGTGAGCCTAGATCATAACAAATAAATAGTCATTATATTATGTGAGACGATGTGGATTATGTATAACAGATTAAACTGAGAGAAAGAGCAGGTGTGATGAGGATTGCTTATGCCATCTGTCCATCATTATCTCAGATAATGTCACAGAGCCATTTATTGGGAGAGGAGGTGAGAGGGGATACCTTCCTCCATCGGGGTGAAACCGTCCTGACAGCTGAACACCTCAATGTTCCTCTGGAAAACAGCATATTTCAAATATGATTTAAATGCATATAGACATGGAAACACACACTAACACGTCACACACACACACGTCACACACAGCCTCACCTCCAGGCCTGAGAGCAGCTCCTCTCTGGCTGAGGTGAAGAGAAGCTGGTAGAGTGTGTATTTCTGAAACAAACTGCAGCAAACAGAATACACAGGGTCAGGAGTGTCACTTTAATTATTAAACACTTCAGCCAAGGGGAACACAGAGCTATTCCACTAACATCAAATATCTGGAATGATACAATAAAACCACGTACACCTGCTATAAATTCAAGTATGCAGCTTCCAGTATGTATTACAGAATGACCTTTTATCCATTAATGTGAAGGCTCATCCTCTATTCACAAATATAATGAACATAAAAGGTTATTAAACCGCTGAGTTTGCAGTGTTGTGAATTAATACTTTTTATTTCCTGAAACATTATTTTAAGTATTTATAAAAGAACCGTAAAAACAATATAAACCTATAAATATATTCCTGATGTAATGATTAGATTCTACAATTTATCCAAACACTATTGGATTTTAACCCTTTATTTTCAGTGACAGTGTAGCATAAGATGTGTCTGAGTGGTTCAGTGGGTTTTTTGTAGGTCGACCAGGAAGTTAGCATCACGACGACTCCCTCGACTAAAAGCAGTGGGATTTTTCCATTATATTGCAGAGAATCAGATCTATGGAAAACGTTTGTGACACTTACACCTTGTGTTCAGCCGGATTATCTCCACATATTTACACCACTTTATTATGAAAGTTTGTTAATGCAAACAGCAGAAACTAGTAGCTAACGTTAGGCTTTAAAGGAACTACATCAAGGTCAAATGACTTTACGTCAACACCCGTAAGCTAAAAGCGAATAATGTTCAGCTTCAGACATAAACTGGTATTCACTGACGTATTTTATGTCTTGAAACAAAATATGAAAACAACTAAAACTGCCTAGTCCTGCCTAGTGTGTGTCACCTGTGTGTTCAAAGTAATGTGGGTTACTAGTTGACCTCTTTTTGTGACCACAGTATAATGATTGGGCTATTAAGGGGGAAAATGGGGTCCTTGTATCCAAAACTGGGACATATATTTATTGATTAATGTAGACTAGTGTACACTACCATAGCCCATATGGAACCTGCATGGTTAAAACGAAAGGACACGTTGTATGTCATCACAGGAAACTCATGCTGGTTGGGATTTAGATTTGGTTTGCATTTGTAACCTTTCCAGTGATTCTGAACGATTTACACTCAAAGCTTAAACACATCCATATCTAGATTTCATCTGTGAATGTTAGAGCAAGTATAACGATTCCACTGACCTGTTTCTGATGTAACTCATGAGTGCAGTGGCTTCTTCTCTGTTCAGAAGTGGTGTGGTGCCTTCCTCTGAAGTTGAGCATTGGCTGGCAGCACCTACAGCCTGAGCAAACTCCATCAGGTTCTCCACCAAAGACATCTGCTTCTCTGCCATATGATCATAAAGCACAGATTAGTGCTGCAGTTCTGATATATTTGATAGGATAGGCAGATGTGTAATGCACATAGCTTCCTTTTCTGCATTAATGCCACATTAAGTAAATTACAATATATGAATGAAGATTTTAATAAGGAACAAGTCCTAATTGTGCGGCTGACTTTGAACTAACCATAATATGGCCGCAGATTATTTGTCCTAAACTAGAATGTGGTGCATTAGACATATTGTTAGCCTGTCATCTCTTTTGTCTCTCTGTCCTCCTCACCTCTGATGTTCTCCAGCAGCATGTGCAGCACAGCCATGGTGAACGAGGTCTGTGGGGGGGTGAAGTTAGCCTCCCTCGCCCACCAGAAGCCACACACATAGTAATCCAGCAGGGCAGCTTCCTTCATACACACCTGAAGGTTCTTGAAGCCCAGAATCTCCTTCAGTTCACTACAGACAACACAGAGCAGAAACGGATTAATACTGTTCACTGCACAGTAATTATCAATCAATCAATCAATGTTTATTTATATAGCCCAATATCACAAATGATACATTTGTCTCAGTGGTCTTCACAGTGTGTATAGTAATAATTCAACACGTTCTCACTCCCAACTCGTCACATATTGACAGACGGTCAGGGCCCCTCCCCGTCACACCATTACGCACAGGGTACCCCTTGAGCGTCAGTTTTCAACGGGCAGGGCGTCCCATATACCTTCATAGACCTCCCATAGCGTTGATAATAGACGCCATGAGAACGCTCCCCGCTGCATCGAAATTCAACGAGCGCATTCCGTTCTCAGCTGAAGCATATGGTGCGAGACGTCATTGCAACACATTATGCTCTTTATATATAGTTTATAAAAAATGAAAATTGTAATTTTCATACTCTGTGATAGGCCTCGGTGACAGTTAGGCAAAAATAATAGGCTTATAGGCATTGTTTTCTCTTGTGTGAAGTTGAGATGATGCATGCTGGGTAATGAATTATTTACATGGATGTAGGCTACGCAATATAGCCAGAAATGGTTCTACAATTGTGTCTGATTTTTCAATCCATCACATTTAACATGGCATGACGTAGTATACCTTTTGTACAGATGATCAGTCTTCCTGAAACTTTTTGGCCGGCTTTTATAGAAATTAATGTAATCGTAGCTGTCACTGCCCGATCTGTACTGCGCATGTGCGAGAATAGGCGCATTCACACCGCAGTACTTTTCCCACAAAGGTTCATGAGAACTTAGTTCATGTGAACTCTTTAGTTCTCATGAACTAAGTACAGATCACGTTCACACCGGAATAAGTCCCTGGGGAAGGATTAGGCAAATGAAGCCGCTGACGTCACTTATTCTTCTTCTTCTGCTTTGGGTTTACTGGCAGGCCGCAAACCACTTCACGGCGTATACTGCCGCCCAAAGTCCCCGGCCGGAAGTCCCCGGGCAGGGGGACGGATCGGGTAGTGACAGTCACTACCCGATCCGTCCCCCTGCCCGATCGGTACTGCGCATGTGCGAGATGGTCCGCCATATTGGACAACTCCGGACGGCAACCCAAGATGGACACTTGACACAGTGGCTTTTGACAAAGCTCAAAAATAAAACGAGAGAGAGATGAGTTATTTTTATTACAACGTGACTTCACTATTATTTAACAACTCTTTTTATTGGGTTCTTTTATTTGGGGTTAAGTACATTGTCAGAATAAGTGAGAAATAGATGTAACTTCTGTTAGACAGCTATCATACTGAATACATATTTAATGTGAATGTATGCAAAGATGTATGGCATATGGCTGTCTAACATTTGCAAGTGCAGGGTAGTCGTCTTTTTTGCCTGTAAATCATTTTAAGACATTAAAAAAAGAAAGTATAACTTACTAATGTGCAGAATGCTAGCTAGCTGCTACTAGCTATTAGCTAGCACAGATTATGTTGCCTTTGAAGTTTAACTTTATTCAAGAGGTGGCAAACGACTGACACCTGTTATTGCATGAAATAATATTTGTGATTGTTTATGAATGTAGTTATTATGTGTCAGTTATGTGTTTTTAATGGGGTTATTTATTAAATGAATGACACAACAATAAAACAAAAAAAAAAATCATAAAAGTTCACTAATGCCAAGCCCCTTAAATATTAGGTGACCTGTATTTGTCAGATAAGATCTTACAGGTTACAGTCATAGGGAATTGTATGGTTTCCATTAATAATGTATTTCCAGTTACCTATGTTACCATAGCTCAAAACTGTCTTTTTGTAATCATGCTATGTTGATATTGTTCATTCTTTGACAAATATAACGCCACTTTAAAATGTAAGTTGTTCAATTCCTAATAATTTTTTCTTCTCTCAACAGATTCTTCTAAGTTATTCTGATCGTATTTACCTCTTTGACCCATCTGTGTGATTGTGATGTTTAAATGTTATAAACATTTGATTAGAGTTCCACACAGTGTTTTTGGTACAAAAAAAAGAGCAACAATGCGTATTGTTCTTTGTAAAACAATGATTTTGCTGTAATGAAGGCAATGGCAGAACCAGCAGGTGTACCTTAGCCCTTGCATGCAAATAACAATTAGTCTCACACAATGCAAGATACCTTCATTTTGCTTGTATAATAATCCAAAATAAACAGTATTAATGGGTTTAAGGTAGCGGGTCAAACAAATGTTTGTCAACTGCTTTTGTTCATTTCAGGTGCTGAAACTGGAGGCTGTAGGCTACAAGCCCATTCTACTTTATGGCAAGCCAAATAGGGCTTCAAATAGGTGGGCTGCTAATATAATAACCCATCTGCCCCCCCACTCCTACCAACACAACCCTATTGGACAAAATGCAGAGGTTTTGTGAATTCCTCTTGACAAAGGGTAAGAGTATTTTCTTTTTCAAAAGATTGTGTTAAAGGTGGTAGGTAAGATTGGAGAAACCAGCTCGAGTGCGCTAGAATTTGAAAGTACGCAGCCGAAAGAAATCTGCCACTTCCTTCAGACTTCCTTACAGAGCCCCTCACACATACGAACGCACACATGACCAATGAGGGCACGAGATAAGTTTGTGCACAGATGGAAGGCTGACAGGCAGGTAGGCCATCCAGTTATTTTAGCCGGGCCGGCTAAAATGATTGGTCATGCTTTTTACAGCGCTACGGCTTCCACAGATTAAATGTTATGTATTTATTGTCAAAGGATTTAATGTATTCATTGCTATCGGGATGTTAAGAGCATTCCATGGAATATAACAACAAGTGTTTCTGAAGTGAATTACCTACCCCACATTTAAGTATATATATATATCAATTAAAAAACCCACATACATTGGACAACCTTTTTTTGAACAAAAACTGTAATTAAACCTGCATTACAGAGAGCTCCACTGCCCATCAACCTGCATCTGAAACTCCCACAGTCGAGCAACCACAGACCCTTATCAGAGAGCAGCAAGAGAGTCCAGCTTCCTAGCAACAACTACAGACCCTTATCAGAGAGCAGCAAGAGAGTCCAGCTTCCTAGCAACAAATGTAGCTCAGCGTAAGTTCAATCAGGAAGACAACATCATCGGGTGTCACACGTTATTTCAATAAGTGATCAGGGGCATTACGCCCCGGCTAGCCAATCATTGCACCTGCTAACCTCTTTAAATCTGCTCTCTCCTTCCTGTCAGTTGTCATTTCAGGTGTCAACGCACAACCCTCCTCCACCCCTTCGCCTCCTGTCTCCTAAATACAGGGCCAAGCTAAACCTTCTCCCTTCAGATCGGACTGAACTACTATCACCACCACCAGTGTCTAGACCCCGGGGGGTTCATCAGAGCGGTTCTTTCCCTCCTGAATGATCATCCTGCAAACCCGGGGCCTAATCGCCAAAACATCATTACAGTTACTTGTTGTAATACGTCAATCGCTATTCCCGCATATCATGTGTCCCGATAATAAACATGTACTCATACATCACGTCTCTCCTGATTGAACTACAGACCCTTATCAGAGAGCAGCAAGAGAGTCATTTCATTCTTAATCTGGTGCCATGTTCAACCTCTCTCTCCTCTTCTTCCTCACAATCCGGTATTCTTCCTCCTCATGCCATCTCCCAGTCTTGTCTGAATGAACAGCCAAAAAAGAAGAAGATGAAACCAGACGGTACGTTTTGAGTTCACACACTAATAATACATTTGATACCAGGCACATTTCACTTAAATCAATTATAGGGTATCTAAGCCAGGTTTCATTCAGGTAACCAGACCAGTGCACCGCATGTTATTGTTAATACATTGTTTAGCTGCGTTTTGGTGGCTTATGAAAGGGTCATGGTTGATATTGATGCATGGCTAACCTAAGAGGGTTTTGTGAAGCCTGCCCAGGACATTTTGCTGGATTACATGAAATAGGGACAAACATATTTGACACAAATAGACAAGTCTGCAGATCATTTTACAATGTTTGATTTACTTCACAATGATATAGTTAATCTCATGGGGACAGGGTTTTATTCTCAAGAGAGACCTGATGAAAACACAACAGCTATATGGAATACATTTTCAGATAGACTAGACATGTATACAAAGTCAAATAGAACAAATAAAAGCAAAAAGAGGTTTATTAGACAAAGGAGAATTAAATGAAGTGATCATCATACAATTGGCTACAAGAGCAACCTCCACCACGGACACACTCACGTGAAGTGGAATAACGGATAACTCCACTTTGTGAACAAAACGTTGAACATATATTTCATTCAGCCGTAAAGCATGGTTGACTAAACGTTTTCTTCTCTTTGTATATTTAAGGTTGCCACAAATGTAGAAGACAGAAGGTCTTCAAGTTTGACAACATAACTGGGAGAAGGATCAATAAGGTAAGTTGCAGAGGCCATACTTTTACCTTTTTTTCATTTGGTTGCTTGTCTGACTCAGTAACTCATTCAGGCCTTTTTAAAGATACTAAATACAATTATTGTTCCGTGTGTGTGTGTGTGTGTGTGTGTGTGTGTGTGTGTGTGTGTGTGTGTGTGTGTGTGTGTGTGTGTGTGTGTGTGTGTGTGTGTGTGTAGGCGGGGAAAGCAGAATGTAAAGTATGCTGGTTGCCTTGCTCTATGTGGTAAGACGTAGTTAACCCTTTCAGAGTGGTATTTCCCTTCTCTCGTTAATCTGTACTGTTTAAAGTAGTAACCAAAGTATTTAAGAAAGTAGTCAAATGATCACGCTTTCATTAAGGTATCATAACACAAGTAATACAAAGAAAGGTATATGTTAGCTTCACCTCCTGTCTGAAGTTGGATGGTAGTTAAGAGTGCTCCTTAAAATCTTTTGGAAAAAGCTCTATTGCCTGAGGTAAATACGATAGTGTTGTCTTATATTCCATGAAGACTTGCAGTGAGGATAAGAGCAATGATGATAATAAAACCCATGGTCACAGTTCAGACCAGCGAGGAAGCAGAGGAGAGCAGTATTG